TAGCCTTGACTACTTCCTTCATCACTTCCTACGTCGCGGACCCGTTATCCTCCCTTCCCATAGCATATTATGATTGCAGATACCTTAATCTAATCGTCATAAACAGTTCTCACACTACGGACTGCTCGTCTTTACTACTTCCTTCACCACTTCCTAAGTCACGGTCCTGGTTTCCTCCCTTCCCATAGCATCATAGGATTGCAAATACCTTAATATAATGGTCATAAGCAGATCCCACACTCCGGACAGCTCGCCTTGACTACTTCCTTCATCACTTCCTACGTCGCGGGCCCGTTTTCCTCCCTTCCCATAGCATCATAGGATTGCAAATACCTTAATATAATGGTCATAAACAGTTCCCACACTCCGGACTGCTCGCATTTACTACTTCCTTCACCACTTCCTACGTCACGGACCTGTTTACCTCCCTTTCCATAGCATTTTATGTTTGTTGATATCTTAATCTAATCGTCATGAACAGTTCCCACACTCCAGACTGCTCACCTATACTACTTTCTCTACCACTTCCTACGTCACGGACCTGTTTACCTCCCTTCCCATAGCATTTTAGGATTGCAGATACCTTGCCCTAATCGTCATAAACAGTTCCCACACTTCGGACAGCTCGCCTTGACTACTTCCTTCATCACTTCCTACGTCCCGGACCCGTTTTCCTCCCTTCCCATAGCATCTTAGGATTGCAAATACCTTAATACTAGGGTTGCTTTCAGAGAGGTGAAAGCCAGTTGAGCGGAACAAACGTGATTTGATATTTGTATAAGTAACTAAATGTAAAAAAGTCAATAGATGTATTATAATGCTTGTTTCATTGATTAAAATTGATAAAACATAGGCCTACGAAAAATGTAGGGCTATTTCAATGCAAGACTCAATGTAAAACACCTTTAAAAGACTAAAATGAACTGAATTATCAATCATGTATTTCAATGTGTAAAAACGTAAAAACTGCAAAAAGACTAATTTATTAAACAATACAATAAGATGGCTGAAATGTAGGCCTAAACATAAGTAATTTAAGTAAACATAGCATTCAGCTGATTTAAGTGAAAACATAATAATAATAAGAAGGGAAGACATGCCTTAAATATACAATGTAGATATAATATAATTAGAAATTAGTAACCTACTTCTGGACAGGCCTAGACAATTATCCATACCGTGGTTAAAAGTGTACTTCTATAAGCCCAGGTAATTAATTATTTGCTTATTATTACGGTTGTAACTGGACGTATGTATAGTCCGTGGCTTGGCAATCAAATAACAGTATTTATATAGGTTATCAACATTTGAAATTACTAAATTGTTACCAAATTACTGTTTCACAAAATGCAGATTCCATTTTCAGCCGAGCCATTAAAATGAGGATTTGCCGAACAATTATTAATATTACAGAATAGTATTTAATGATGTACAACTTTTCACATTTCATAAATTATATGTTAGTTTTGCTATGGGCAAAGGTCCAAATCCAAATGTTCTTTTCTTTTGGTTTTTATGTAGTAATTTGCTACAATCATTGACTTTATATAGAGTCAATGCTAGAATACAGTAGATGGTTTGTTAAGACCATATGCAAACATTTTTGAAATCGTTTCCCCGTTTAACCAACTATTCCAAAAGATAAAAATTATATGGTGCAACACAAATAAACAACTCGATCACCTACCTAACCTACACTTTACCTTCCTAATCTAACCTTACTTCAAAACAAATGTAGTCACGAATACTCATAAACCCCGACCTTCCCCACATGCCTAAATTAGATCAGTGTTAAATCTGCGTTTTATTAATAAGTGTAATAACTTACTGCACCGTCGATGTAATTCAACATAATATAATCTGTGATGTATTATCGGATTAAATATCGATTTCGATGTGGTTCGATATATCGCTTATTAAATCCTGATTTCTAACATTGGCTGTTTCTAATCAGCTGGCAACACAAATAGGTTCCCAAGAAAGTAGTCACTGGTCCGTATCCCTCCGCTCCTTGTTTATGCTCCGCGCATTGAGAAAGTAGTTCCGTATATTTTCTCGATTTTCTGTAAATTCCGCACCTCAAAAAAATGTTTTAACGGCATTTTCTTGTTTATTAAAATCATACGAATGGTTTAAAAACGTTTAAAAGAAAAGTATAGAAAGTTCAGAAATACCTTATGATTCTCTTGTTTACATTTTTCTTGTAAACAAAAAAACTGTCATAACTACTTTAGTCCCATAAGCCTAATGTTAAAAATTTGAAATTTTAAGTTAGTTTTAAATTGCATTAGCATTATCTAATTGAAATTTGTTTGTTTACAAACCGTCTCATTATTAGTCTAAGTAGTCTTGTTAAGTTTGGCTGAAATGTGTTCAGAAGTTATTGAGTGATGGTGTTATATTGTTTGCATTGAAGTTGATCCCAAAGAGCTTCGCTCGCTTCGCTCGCTCCGCTCAATAATGGTCATAAACAGTTCCCACACTCCGGACTGCTCGCATTTACTACTTCCTTCACCACTTCCTACGTCACGGACCTGTTTACCTCCCTTTCCATAGCATTTTATGATTGCAGATACCTTAATCTAATCGTCATAAACAGTTCCCACACTCCGGACAGCTAGCCTTGACTACTTCCTTCATCACTTCCTACGTCGCGGACCCGTTATCCTCCCTTCCCATAGCATATTATGATTGCAGATACCTTAATCTAATCGTCATAAACAGTTCCCACACTCCGGACTGCTCGTCTTTACTACTTCCTTCACCACTTCCTAAGTCACGGTCCTGGTTTCCTCCCTTCCCATAGCATCATAGGATTGCAAATACCTTAATATAATGGTCATAAGCAGATCCCACACTCCGGACAGCTCGCCTTGACTACTTCCTTCATCACTTCCTACGTCGCGGGCCCGTTTTCCTCCCTTGCCTTATAGTTTTTGGAATGCAGATACCTAAATCTAATCGTCATAAACAGTTTCCACACTCCAGACTGCTCACCTTTAGTACTAACTAGTGTCGTCATTTTATTATATTTATGATCCATACCGTTTCTGTTCTAATATCTGTAGAATAATGCTATCAGCTATTTATTTATCTACTGCATTCAAAAGTCAACAGCTGATCACATGTCTTGGTTCATGTGTCAAATACTGCTTCCATAAGGATTACATTGAAACTTTGAGACCCAGTGGGGCGGATTCCTGAGAGAATTTTTTAACGCCATATAGATGTTGGCACTCACCGATATGGTCTTTATCACCATGCAAAATTTGAAAACGATTGATTCAGCCGTCTAGGAGGAGTTTGCGTATTACGAAATGCATAAGAGTCGACGTATAAGAGCTTCGCTCGCTTCGCTCACTCCGCTCAATGAAAAGTTCCCTTTAAAAAGGAATTACGACCTTAAAGGGCAATTGATGAAATAATGGATAGTTTTGCGCAAGGTTTCTCGTCATGACGAACAATTTAAGTATATGGTTTATGGGAGTGTGACTTGTAGTTTTCTCAAAAGTTCATGGGTACTTTTGGATTTATATATAGATGCTATTGCCGAAGAGCTCATATAGTAAGACGTAGATCTGGGACCGATTTACTTTTACGTTTTGATGTCCCCAGAGACCAAAAACACCATCCGTTCAAATCCATATATTTAGGGTCTACATACGTGTCCGTTAGCATGATAACTGGGGCAAAAATGATCCGGTTATGACGAAAATCGGTACTAACGTGTAAACCTACATTTATTCGAACGAGTTTTTGAACCAGCACGATCGGACTATGGGGTACGGGGTTGTATAGGTTGCTTTAGAATATAAATTGGGGTTTCCCGTTTTTGACCCCCAAAACATCAAATTTTGTAATTTCTCTCCAAACAATTTTGTAGAGCTTAAAAAAAAACAATTTAGTACACTGATTTGATTAAAAAATTAAAATTAGCAGGCTCATGGTAAGACGTAGATCTGGGACCTATTTACTTTTACGTTTTGATGTCTCCAGAGGCAAAAAACATTATCTGTTCAAATTCATACAGAGTGTCTTGCAACCATACAAACTTAGTCACGTTATTCAGCATGTCAAAATAAAAAAAAAATAATATAACGTATGTCCTATCTCATTTAGTTTTCGGTATATCTGTCTGTATATGATTTTTACAAAAACATTCATAAATCTTTTATGTCTTGAGCTAGGCGTTGAAATTCTGTAAAAATTTTTATCTTATTGACCAATATTCTTGAGCAAAATATGAATAAAAACTCTTGAACCGCTTGAAATTGGCTGTTTTAAAAATTATTTGATGCCAAATTCCATGAAAACAGTTAATTTTACAAAATATTTGCAGGGCATGTTAAAGTTAGTAAGTTTTATGCAAATTACAACGATATCTTATTAGCTTAATTTGAACAAAGAATAACTGAGAAAACTTATATTTTTCCGTTTTCTCCATTTAATCAATGTGAAATTATTAAAACTACTGTTTAACATTGTTTAAACGGAGAACGCTGTAGGTATGGCAAAAAAACAATAATTTCTCTGTTATTCTTTGTCCAAATCAAGCTTAAAAGATATGGTTGTAATCTGCATAACATTTACTACCTAAATAAATAGGGGGGGGGGGATATATAGGGATATATCCCCAATACCCCTCTCACTGAGACCACCACTGAATTATATACATGCTTAAATCTCTTCTTTACTCATTCAACTCTATCTTCAAATTACAAGGTGCCATCTAATCCACGTTTGTATAAAATATTTTTTTGAAAAACTAACTATACCCTCTATCAATAATTATACCTTATTGGTTTAATTAATGGACCCAGGCCCACCAGTCGCAAGAGGGTTTATATTTTTTGTTTGGGGCACAAAAAGAGAAACATTTCTCCACAAGGTTGGTGGAGGGGGTGTAATTATTTCTCAGCCCTATATAGTATATCACATGCAAACCTAGGCTTGCAAAACATAATTTTGTTCCCTTTCTGACAGTTCTTGATCTTTTGCAGGTGACAATGGCAGCGAGAACATTGAGATGGGCCCGATGACGCTGCGGGAATACATCGCAACGCTGGAGCCGTACGACCCAGAGATCCACGGCTGGCGGGGGGACGAGCCGTTGACTGTGAAACGCAGAACTCAAAAGCGAAACTCCAACCACAGGTTGAGCCTTGCCAACGGGGGCCTGCCGGGATCATCTGGAGACAGCCCCGCCTACAGCTCTGTCAGCTACCATCCCAGACAGCGGGGCAGCGTGGAGCTGCAGAGTAACAACGTCATCTAGGTGAGATAGGATGATCTTTGAGATAATTATGAGATAAGGAAGTATATGATGAAAATGTCACCACAATGTCCTCTTAGTTATTATAGCTTTTGAGACCTAAATTCACAGTCATCAGCTCAAATTATAAGTTCAAGTAGCAAATGTGTCTGAAGACACCAAAAGATTCAAACCTGAGACCCAACTGATTACTCGGTGATTTGGTGAACTTTTGGGAAGTTCAACGTAGTCGTAAATTCTCCAGTAAGGGAACATTCATCGTCTAAGAACTGACTTACATCGAAATAATATTTTAGACTATTGGCAAAATCAGAGTGAGAATGCCGTGCATTCTTGCTCCACACAAGACCCCAGACCTTCACCAAGGTATTATTTTTGCCAGGAAACCTTCACTGTAGGAAACTTATGTTGGCTCTATTTTTTTTCTTTTTTAGGGTTCTCCCTGTTACTTGAAAAGTTCAAGGTTTTTCAAAGTGTCCCAAGAGATTTGCTTGAAGGCAAGTATTGCTCAGGCAGTTTAAGTGATCCCTGAAGAAATGCAGGAACGAGTAATCGATGGAGTTTTCAAGCAAAAGGAACTCTGATTAGGACCAGACGTTCCTTGAAGGACGTTTTTAAGTTGAAATGGCATAGGATTTAAGCTGTATTTTGATGAACTATTTATATGTATATAGAAAATAGTATTAAATTTTCCCTATTTATAAACTGAGGCGCTCTCATTGCCTCACCCTGTACGCCTGGGACTCAGTGCCTTAATCAAGCACATCTTATCCATCTTAAAAAGTTTTTTGTGCTCTTAAATGAAATAGTTTATCTTTTTACAGATGCTGATATTGTGCCTTCTTGGATCCAGTGACTTAAAAGGCGCCTTCAGATAACTATGACTGTTCCGGTAAAAACCTGACTTCCTATTTTAGAACACAAATGTTTTAGAAACATGTTTTTAGATATTGTTAGAAATACTGTAAATGATGTAAGTAGGTGAATATTGTAATTACATTGTAAAAAATAGTTGTCTGTTTTATAGGGTAAAAAATGTACTTAATCAAAAAACAAAATTATGTTGTGTAACAAAGATTGTCTAAATCAATAAATAGAATTTAGTTAAGTTTTTTACAAGACAACATTTTATGCTAAACATGATATATGGTGCCTATTTAAAAAGCAAAGAGTTTTTCCCTAATAATATTTTCTGGATTTAATAATTTGTTTTGTACGGTATATGTTACATACAATAAAGTGTATGTTCATTGAAAAAAAAAAGAAAATGAAAAAATATCAAATTTAATTTGAATACAAACCCTTTGAGTACACAATTTGTGAATGGGAATTTTTTACAAGATAATTTTATATGAAACTTTTCTTTAACAGTGTATGTAGCCATTGAATAGATACTAAGCATGTAAAAAATTGTTTTTTGATGATGAAAAGATGTAGAACAACCCTGTATTTACATCCATAAAACTTCTGTTTGTTTAAACAAATAGAAACATTTATGGAAACCAAAGAAATGGTGCATGGTAATGAAAAGTTAAAATATACAATAGTACTAAAAATGAATTTCGGTTTCAAGCTTGTTTGGCTAAAAATCACGTTACAAATTGTTTTTTTTTTTTAATTAGATATTTTACAATTGTGTAGCTATTCATGTATGCATTATGATGATTTTGTATTTTATTGTATGTATGTTCCAAATCAGGGGTTTTTATTGCTTTAGAAAATTTTAGGCTAGACACAAAAATATTATACTTTAAAATATTTTAAGTAAACTTTATTTTTACACATCAATTCTTATTTTCACATAGCTTTTTAAATATAGTATTTTTGCTTGTGATATTTTTATCTACGTTAATTTAACAATACCGGAACATAATGATGAAAACTATAAAAAAGTATATACTTAATAAACTGATTTAAGTAAAAAAACTAAGAAAGTCAATGTTATGAGAGTACTTTTCTCGACTCTGAAATGAGCCATCGGAGAAAATGTATTTGAAATGAGAACATTTGTATAAAATGAGGTTATCTTTTTAACAATATAAAAAAAAAACAAAAAAAAACCACTGTAGTCAACTATTAATTTATTTTTTGTTTTATTTTACCCTACAGAAGATTTTGCTATGGAAGACACATTAGTGCCCTTCAACACAAGTTAACATATTTAAATCCATAAGACCAATGCACATACAGTACATTAATACCAAATCCATGTATTAAGAATTTTCTAAATGCAGTCAAAAATTATTTCCCACCAAAGTATTTTTTTAAAAGGAATACAATCTGTACATTGAAGTGTAAATAATGTAATTTTGTATAGTTATGATAGTAAGAAGTGTAGCAGCAGAGCCACAAATTTTCTTTTTTTTACAACCAAACTAGGTTTTAAATTTGTTTTTTACAGAATTTCAAAATAAAAGGAATAGAACGTTTGAAGAACTGAAGGCATTTTTCCATGGTCAAGACAGGTTCTCCTAGCTGCCCATTTCGGCTGCGGAATTGTCAATGTCATGCTCTTATAGGCACTGAAGTTTCCTTGCCAAATTCTCCCGCTAGGACATGTACTTCATCCTTGTCCGTTCAGCTGGTGCCGAAAAATCATCTGTATTCGGCAGCTAGAAAAATCTGCATTTACTACAAATTTCCAAATTAACACAAATCCATATTTCTTATTTAGCTCAGCTAATAGGTACATGTTTTGAAATGAAATAATCAAAATGATGGAATTTATTGGTTGTTGTACTTGTGTTACTGCTGCATTTAATTATAATTTAATTCATTAAGCGGAATCAAATGAACATTTGTATCAAAATGCTATTGCTAAGTTGGATAAAAATATTTATCATTCTGGCAATAATTTAGCATATTTTTAAACAGGAAACTTAAATACTACTTAAATGATTGTGAATAAGTTTTTTAGAAGTACAGTATAGTATGCAAATTATTGATCTGTTTTGATCTTTGTTTCCTAGTCTAAATGTGTACTTAATTGTTTACTAAACAGAAGAAAATGTTAATTCTAGTTTATCTCATATTTAGTTGGTAATTAGAGTAAAAAGAAGTTAGGTAAGGTAATTTTAGTTTAGAAAAATCTTTAAAATATCAAAACGTTTCTTACAATTGGTTATAGAACTAACAAAAGTAAATTCCAATGTACCTAATTTAAGTTGATTAAACTTGAAAAAAAAGTGAAAAATATTTTTCTTTACACAAAAATATTAAAGTAATTATCCCCATTTGTTTGTTGATGTACGTTGTACAAAATATGATACAATCATGTACATTATATCTTTTGTAAAATTTGTTTGTGGTCTTAATTGAGCATTCCTTGTAAATGATGGGAGAGGGCGTTTGATTGGTTAATAAAGTTTATTTCAATAAAATAATTGATTACATTTATTGAGCAACCATGGTCTAACTTGTTCTTAGAGAAAACATTTCCCCCCTCTCCATGTCCTCTACCCCCCTCTTTTGAGCATTCATTGTTTGGACTATAAATAATTTAGACCACCCAGACGCTAATCCATCATACTTAATAAAATTTTAAAGCAAATACACGATTTTTGCCAAGCATTGAATATTTGACTATCTTCCGTTCACAAAATTTAGGTGTTTTAAGAGGAAGTGATTCCCCTCCATCTCATCCTAACTTTAAAACAAAAGACAGCTGATCTGATTATACATAGATTGAGCTAAAAAAAGTGGTGGGGTCCCCAGGAAACTGTACTCTTAAACCACTTGAATTTCTTGAACAGAATTTAGTGGTAAACTATTTGTATTGGGATTTGTCAATTTCCCAGCAGAGGTTCCCAAACAATCATTACTTTCCGAGCTGTCAGTTATGTTTCTTTGATATGTGGAAAGACTGAAGGATTGGAAAACATCAAGCACTGACTTTCGCCGAATCACGGGTTGACAAACATCCATTGACACTAGTCATGATTTGGCCAGTAGCTGCTCTGCCGGTGAAAAATACTTTGGACACAAAAAAAAGGAAAAAGAGATGAGAGAAGAAATGGTTAAACTATGACATTTGCTGATGTTCACATTGCAAATAAAAAAAAAAAAATAATTTTTCTAGTTTTTATAACATTTGTTAGACTGTTGGGATTACAAGTCTATATTTGCCGTATCCAAATTCAATGGCATTGCTGTCCCAAGGAATTTAAAAGTACAGGAGTTACATAATATTGACAGTGTTGGGATAAAAATTCAGTATAGTTCTCTAACTAATAAAATGGCTAGTTAAGACTATAAAGAAACCAATCATCTTTATTATTTTTGAAATAGCAACCCCATTTATAAATGATCAGATGCTTACACAAGTTCATTTTTGTTATGTATAAAATAAAGCGTCCAAGGACAATTTAGATATTTATAAATCAATCGTTGTGTCTTCTATTAGGATTCTTTCCGAAAACAATCTCACGTATTCGAGGCAAAAGCTGTGCAGTCATTTGTTCCAGCTTTTTTTCTAATGTGTTATTCACACTAACTGATTTCGATTTTGTATACAGTATCACTCCTCCTTTCCCTTTTGCCGAGAGGAATTCAGATTCCTCGACTGTAACGGACACATTCATTCCAGTCAGCGAGTGAAAAACATTTTGTGCTTGATTCGTCACTTTTTTAATCAAGGGAAGATCATTCTTACGCACTTGCAAAACCACTCTGGGTTCCATGATCTGAAAAATAAAAATATGGTTTTGAAACAACTCATAGCTATTGTATAGTACGTAAAATCAATATGATGGAATGTACTGCATAATAGACCGTCATTTTTGTCCCATCCTGCAATATATTTAATGACCACACCTGACGGATGGATCAGACAAATGAAGATTCGTAGATTACTTTAACATTGCTATCGTGAAATCATAGGTTTTCAACAATTAAGACTACAATATTGTTACTTCAGCATTTGTTCAGTGCTATACTAAATCTTATGCAAAATAAACGATAATATTCACTTGAATACGTTTTTTTTAAGTGATGGTATATTCATCCAGCTAACCAAAAAAATTAGAGACTTGGGTAAATAGAGTCCAGTGACCTCATCAATATCTACTTTTTTATGTCCCCCTTTGCATCCTGTTCTACACATTTCTTCACGGTAGTTCTAGAGGGTTGCAGCATTATAAAACAGATAAATCCATTAGTGATTAGTGGGATTTGAACCCGCAACCTTGAGCTCCAAAAGTACCAAGCTACACCCAGGAACTAGACCCAGGAGACATTTAGACACACACAACAGGGTAGCAACACAACATTAATATGTCATCCTAAACTTCTTCAGAGAGTAGATTAAAGAAAATTCAATTTCCTTCCTAAAACCCCCTTAATTAGACACTATTGATAGCTAAAAAATATGAGACTTACCTGAAGTAACCCTTGTAAAGTGAGTTCAAAAAGTACTTTCTTATACAAACACTCGTTGTCGGGATAATCCAGATTATTCAACCGGTCCAAGACAGTTTTGAGGATATTTTCCACAACCATGTTTCGAGAGTTCATGACATTCCGATATGACTGGCTTTTTAATTTTGATATATCTCTGAATAGACAAAATCAGAAACTTCAATGAGTGGCCTACTTGAATGATTAATGCACATTAATACAAAGCATATGGTCTGTGGCGCCAGATTTCGGATCTATGGCAGTGGTGTAGTGGGTTCGGACCCATACCTGGTATCTACCACTACATTAGTCAGTACTTGTACTGTACTGGCTCACCCCCTTGGCCCCTTTTTTGCTTTACCGGATACGTTACACATAGTGGCCCATGTCAGAGTCAGGACTATATGCCCATGTGAACAAGAAAATGCACTTAAAGTCGAAAGAGGTAACTAACCTCTCTTTAGAAAACAAAAAAAAGTCAAGGAGTTTAGTGGCTGTGTCCACCCTCCCGTGCTTTCGTTTCAATTTCAACGTGCCTTTAACTTTTAATTAAACATGCATCCAACTCATGCGTTACTGCACGCGCTTTTAGACATGCTTTTCAGCTGTCCACACTGAGCATGTAACTAATACCTCACATTTTAGATGTCTTTTCCTAGATGGATGAAGACAACGCTATTCTGTTAAAGCTAGAAGGAACTAGATCCGGAATATTTTGGGTTAATAAAAGTTCAAAAATGATAGAAATTAAGGCGTAAATGTGGATAAAGGAGTCCTACTATTTAAAACTCATTATTTTCTTATTTAATTTATTAATTTAATTCAATCTTCGATTATGATTTAATTTACTTTAATAGATTTAATACCTGCATGCCCCACAAACATATGAGAGTGATAATCATCTATGAATTCTGAGGTATCTTAGTTATATTCATGTTGCTTCAAACAACTACAACCCAGGATGACTTGTCAAAAATGTAAAGCAGTTGCAAGTGGAAACGCACAGAAATCCAACACTGATGTCTTGCGCTACGCTATGTGCTACCTATGGAATGGAGCTAATTTCCGACTCAATTTGGGCATGCCGCATGTGTTTGGCGCACACAGAAGCGCACGAGTGTGGACATTCCTAAGAGAGATGACGGTAGAAGAGGATATATGTGTGCACCAGTGCACACCTAGGAGACTACATAGATGTATAATACTTCCGTAGCGTATTATGTGTCAATGGGAGGCTGAAGCTGCTAACTGATGATCATGGAGGTGGTGGTGATGATGATGATGATGGTGATGAACCATCAAAGCTGTGAAAACTTACAATACCATCTGTTGCTGAAACTTCTTTTCAAGATTGTCATAGTATTTTTTTACTGCTCCGATCCTTTTCTCAATATAGTTTTTTTTCTCTATATAATATTCTTCTTCAGCCATGACATCTATTTCTTCTGCTTTTTCATGGCCATCTTGTTCAATGTAATCAACCATTATTTGGAGCTAACACAACAAAAATAAACTTATCAAAACAAAATTTTAATTTAAATTGTTGTGGACTTTTATTCAAGGCAATGGAATTTTGACCTATCTAGTCTACTGGTCAACGGCTGCTTTCTTCAAGATGTCAAGGTAAAATTAACTCTATGGTTGTTAATGTAAAATTGTCATATAGCTAAGTTCCCCACCATGTATTGTAAGACACAACTTCATAACTTAAAATACTCATAAATAATTCATTACAAATTGATAACCCATAAAATTGGGAGTGAATCAATTTTGGTAAAGTGATCTGAAGGAAGTTGAGGGTTTCATTGAGACTTCGAGGTTCTTGCAAAGCGCAATTTGATTCAAAACCAATGAATGTAATATTTTAAAGACTCTCATATCTCCCAATTTTTATTGTTCATCATCTTATTGCTTTTTTCACTAAAAAAAATGTGTATTTGTTACTATGTTAGCCCCAGACCCTAGCATTTATAAGGCAATCTTGTATCCTGGCTAAACAACAATGGTAGATCCTGGAAGAAAATTTTGGGGAAGTACACCAGGGGGTCCTAGGATAATTTTTAAATATTTGTATGCCCATAGACAGTGGCGTAACTAACGCCAAAATGCAACCAATGCGGTGCATTGGGGCGCAGAGGGGGGCACAAAAAACTGATATTCTGGAAGTTTTTAGCAAAAAAATATGTTGAAGTAGCCTAAAACTTTCTGTAGCTACCGAAAATAAATGTAAAAAAATATATTCCTGGTACCGGTACTTTATTCCCTAGAGTCACACCAGTTAGTTGGTGACTTTTATTTTGTTTAATATTATTGTTATCTCCTTGGCGCCGTGCACATCTGCGCTTATCGCGTTCTTATTACAAGAATAGACTTATCATTGTTGGCTACAAAGATAGACCGCTAAATTCTTTCAGTATTATATTAAGTTTTAAGTAAACAAACACGACCGACCACGTGTCTCTGTCAGTCCTTGTTGTACGACTGTGTGGTTCAAACAAAGCTGTAGGGGCTTTGCCAGGGAATAGGAATCAAAGTACTGTACAGTGTGTTGTCACTATGAGCTGTAGGTAGCCCTTTGACTGTAAGAATGCAATCATCTAGTAAAATTAATCAAATTCTGAGAAACGGACATGAACTTTACATTGTAAATTGAGATATCACGGTAAGGTACTGAATAAATATAAAATGTTATGTGGTTTATATTTTATCGTCCTAAAAAGTACATTAATTCATTAAATTGTAATGATATTGTGATCTTTACTTCAGTTTTTAATTAATTTTAAAATAACTTTACATAATACATTTTATTTCTTTGAATAAATCTTTCTCTAATTGGATAGTTGCACAATATATAGTGTGTAGTGAAATAGTATCCAGGAAGTGTGTCAGAGTAGAGTACGGTGGTAATGTCTTTGTTAGTTTCGTTATATGGGGAGGGGGTGGAGAATAAGTCTACAAATAGGGGCGCACGGGAAATACTTGCATTGGGGTGCAGACAGTAAGACAGACTGCTTACTACACTGCCCATATAGAAGAGGTTTTGAAGCATATAACCATTGACTATACCTACAGATATAACTAACTAAATAAAAAAGAGTGCAATTATAAACTTATTATAGGCCTTGTTTAGGAGTATTTTAGGGATAGGAGTTATAATAGATAGCCAACAAATAGATAAGGGGGGGGGGGCATAAGCATTGGGGGACCCTTTCCTCCCTGTGGATCGAACCACCTCTGGGTACAACCATAGATAAAACATAGGTACAACACACCAACACCCCTGATAGCAAAACTGTTCATGGTATGTTTAAAATAAAAAATTAAATAAATGGCTAAATAGCTTGTGGATAAGCATTTAAAACAGAACAATTAATAATGCAACACTAATTAATTGTCTTTTACGTTTTACAAATAGAAAGATTTTTACCTTATTTTCATATTCTTTTTGAGCAGCCATTTCTTCAAAAAATATCAACAGCGCATCTAGGATATTATTAAGTAGTAAATAATGTCATATTTTGACATTATAATTAAAGATTTTCATATACATAATTTTACGTTTTAAGATGCTCTTATAAAGCCACACACTAAAAAAACTCTTAATTCATAAAAGTTATATTAAAAACGTTTTTATTGTTTTTTTAAACAGGTGATACATGCAATAACTTCATAACATATTGTAAAAAGACTAACTAATCATACAACATAATCAACATTGTTAGCGTGGATTATTAAACTATTTTATATCGTCAAATGTTGAAAACGAAAAGGCATTGAATTTATCGTTTTTTATCATAGTGTCCAACAAACTGATTATTACTTAAACTAATAGTTCAGTGTTTTATTATATTTTCATGGCCATTTTTGACATACATATATAACGTTTATAAAACGAACTTTCAATTTTATATGTTGGCAAACATGTAATATTGAAGTATTGAGTAGCCTAGCCAGGCAGAGGCAGACAAGAAACAAGAGGAAGACAGGTTCTAAACAAAATATCACGTTCATGTAGGCCGTGGCGTAAGTTAGATAGTGTTAAAATGTTAAGTATTTTCAACAAATAAATTAAATTAATAAAACTAGAAATGGCTAGCTCGTTGGAAAGTAAAATAATAGATTTACAAGCTCGTTTGCAGCGAGAAAATGAAGCTAACGATAAGGATCCAATTTCTCATGACATTGGAGGAGGATTTGGAAGTCCCAGACCTGGATCTGGAAAAAGGCCCCAAAAGTGTAAGTACTGTAACCTTTGCATTTACTTGAGTTGACATAATATATTAATTTGATGGTTTCATAATCTCTTGTGAAGTTTTGATTGGATAAGGACAATTTAGGCATATTACATTTGATCATTTGAATGAATAAGTTAAGTCCTTTTATGACTAGCCTACTCAACTCCTGGAGTGACAAGTATTAAGTTATGTCATTTCACTAAGTTTCGATTGGGATAAGTATCCTTCTGTCAGAATATTTAAGTAAAATCAATTTCCAATTTTAATCATAAAACATTTCTGGTCAGTTTGATATTGGCTTCTTAGTGTTGATGACATAGCCTTAGGCCTAAGCCCATAACTTACCTAAGCCTTATCATAGACTACCTAACTTAACCCTTCCTGTGCGTTTGCCATACGGTATACAAAAATCAACAACGCTCTTCAATTGTGAGCGTTGGCTGTATTCATACGCAACTCTTAAACTGAAGGTTACATGCGTACAATGCATAACTTAAGTTAATAATAGGCTACTTTATGTATTCGTCAAAAACATGTAAACATAAACGTTAGGCCTAAGTAGTTAGTTGTCTCTTGGCCATCAACAGTTACCTTAGGTCATTAACCAATACTAGTGCACCTGTTGCTCGAATTTGAGCAATTGCTAAGTATTACAGGCGTTATTTCAAAACTAATACCGTAACAGTCATAATTTCCGATAAAAAAGTCTACTCAAAGATAATGTTATAAATCACTCCACTCCAGTTATTGATAGGCCTACTAAAAACTAACTCACTCTGAAAACGAACACTCTTGTGTGTAGTTGTGTAGGCCTATGTGTTCATAAACCTATTATGAACAGCTGCAATTAAGTTATACAAATTATTCGTCTGTTTAAGTAAACAAAATCTTTCCTTCATAAGAAATACATTGGGATTTTGATGGCCTGTGGGGCAAAGCCGGAGGACTTATTGCATGAATTGTTGAAAGGCGGGGTCTACACAACAATTACTTAATTATGACACCTCGTTTGTAAAAATCAGTCCATTATTAATGGAGGAGTAGTGTCTCGTAGAAATCGCCTTCACGTAGGGTATTATGTATAAGGATTATTATTGCGATAACTTAACTTATTTTTTGTGGTAAATTTTTGATTGGTTGGTTGGCCACTGATCTTGTAAGTTAACATCAGTCTGTTTAAAAAAACTGGCCGACTACCTTAAGTCATCCTCATGTTATTGTTTTGCGCAGTCTGTTTACGTGTTCTTGAGTGAATTAAATCCAGTAAGATAAGATTAGTGGAATATTCAGTGCATTAGAACTTAGGTAAGTTAGGTACCGTAACTACCTATTTTTTGTAAATGTTGTTTTAATTGAACATAAAGTTTAGATTAAATGAACCTAAACAATTTTTATGTATTGTTTTATGATTACCTAAGTCTATTTTGTCTTATTGGCAATACAGTAGCCTAATAAAGAAGTCGTAAGTTATTGTTCTCATAATGATATTTAGCAAATTTTCCTAAGTTAAGTTAAATATAGGCTGGGCTAGCTTAGTAAGTAGGCTAACTTACTACTTTATTACCGTAGGTGGGACAGTAATTATACCTGGTCCCGGGACCGATATAACTTAAGCTAGGTAAGTTAGGCCTTGTTTTTCATTTTTATGTCTCTGGGTGCCAAAAACCCTATTGTTTTAATTATTAAATGTTATGTATCGGCCTATCTTATAGGCAAGGATAGGCCTAGATCTATACGTAGGTTGTCCAGCATAAGACAACCTAGTTTGTCCATAGACTAGGACAAACTTTACCAGATTATTAGGGAGGTCAAAACAAGCAAAAAATGCCTTAGTGGGTTACATGCATTTTTGTAATTAATAAGATGATACAATACTTGCTTGCTTTCGTTTGGACACAGTTTGTTTGCTTTGATAAGGTAGGCCTACAGGCCATGGACTTATATCCAGATAAATTATCTTAATCCCTTAACCCTTTCAGTGCTATGAAACGATATATCGTTGTCTTAAAAAATCTCCAAGAGATAACTTATAGAGAGGAAGGTCATTAAAAAAAAAAAAAATAGCAAAACGGCCATCGGTGACCTGCATGTTCATAGGCTACACTAACAACCACTTAGCTAAAAGATTCGCTTAATCCGATGATTTCGAGGTGTATGTCTAAACCAAGGATTATGAACTCCTCACTATGCCCCAGTGGTTGTAGTATATCGCTACAAACACACAGGTCATCAATTATTTGCCACACAGGACGGGATTCGAACCCGAGCAGACGAATGCCACTGGCCAAGTGACACACGCTCTAGCCTTCTCGGCTATCTGTGCTTGGAGTCAAAATCCGGTATTTAAGCTGACGCCACCGATTGCAAATAGATAGCGCTACAGATGGTTGTTCAATGCGTTACTAGGTAGCAGCACCAGTTAGTCACGGACTATTTAGATGAAATTTTTTAGTTGAAACACATCAGTGATCATAAATGTGTTCCTGAGACTTTGCTGCAAAACATTAGTTTCCCTAAAATGGCTTTATTATGATAACCTCGTCCAACTAAATCAAAGTTAAAAACAATATTACATTGTAAACTATATGTCTTTTATTTTATGAGATTTTGGTTTCAAACAATGCTATCAGAACATAAAAATGTATAGGAAAACCAGGAAAATTACAACAAAAACTCAGTTTTATTTAAAGTTTACTACAAATACCGGGATTTATCTTTGTTATATATTTTCTTATTGTCTTATTATTCAAAATTAGCCTAATTAATAAAATAATGACAACATGACAGTTAAAATTCAACTACAGGAAATGGAATTAAAAGGCAAACAAAAAAGTCTTACGAAATATGATTTATTGGCCTAGCACTGAAAGGGTTAAACAAAATAAGAAACATAATATACAATTGTGTTTTTTTTTTGTTTCTGCGACTATTCATGTATGTATGTTGAACAGATTGAATAAAGATGATTTGATTTGACATTTTTACAGTGGGCGAGATGAGTACACCAAGAAGGGCTAAACCAATAGACCTGCCAGTTATGTTCCCACAACCTAAACAACAAGACGCTCAAGAGATAGATAACAAAATGAAAGAAATCATCAAGCTCAGCGGTGTGCTCTGTATTGACGGAAAGGTAAAGCATTAAGGGGATTCCCTACCAAAAATTACCTAAATATAATATTTTTCCAAATTTATTTTTCTATAGATTGTTGTTCTATGGTACGGTATGTCCTCTTACAGAAAACCCATAAAACAATGGTCAACAGGTTTTGTATATGAACAACAATAGATTATAGTAGGCTCTGCAAGCATCCGTCCCAATGGCAAGGAGCCTAGCCAGGTTTCCCTATAAGCCTAAGCCAGCCCGTTTCCCGCAAGTTTGATTTTTCCGTGTTTTTTAATACTAAAATTAATATAGGCTATCTCAAAAAGTACTTATAGTACAAGGTTGAAATTTTCGCCCAATATTCCTTATTAGTATCAGGGTGATTGGTACTCAGCGTGACAACAGTTTTTCGGTGTAACTACAAAGTAAAAGAAGTGTGATGATGCATATAAGATTTCAAGTCTAAAATTGGCTTCCCAAAGAATTATTATAAGTTGATAAAAAAACATGTTTTTAAACTTAATACAGCAATTTCTCAATTACCTACCTGTAAAAGGATTTGAGTAGATAATGCCATTTTCGTGTTCTACATTAAATTTTGTACAAGATAGAAAACGATGAGGGATCAATAGTAAAAACTCCATTGCAAATAGATACAAAGATACAAAATAAGGTGTTTGATAAACATTAAAAAAAACATTGGTCTATTGCATTTTTCTTCACGCTGTATACATACAAGAAGCCAAATACAGTAGAGTCCCGCAAACTCAGCACTTGATAACCCGGCAGTCTGGATAACTCGGCCATCACCTGGCTCAGAAAATTAGTGATTTTTTCAGTCCGAGTTAAACATGGACACAAGTCAGCTCTAGTATTTGTAACTCGTACTAAGGATTTGTTGTACTATATCCAATGACTTAATACTGACTTGTAATATAAATATAATTAAAAAAGGCGGTTAAAAAGCTTAAAAATTGTATTGTTCTTATTTTTACTCTAGTTCCCGATAACTCGGCATATCACAAACTTGGCACCCTTCCAGTCCACATTACGCCGAGTTTGAGGGACTCTACTATATGTTAAAAACTGTGCCATTTCATAATCTTTCCAACCATATGCTACATAAGATTGAAGCTCAATTTACAGTCCATATAAATACCATCGAAGTAGAAAACCGCCAAAATTAAAAATAAAGATAGCCCTATAGTAGCCTAAGTAAGTCCCCAAAGTATTCATGTATCCTATTAATAAACTGAACAGCAGATTTTCATAGTTTCAAAATCCATTGAATATATTAAGGCTCCCAATTGAGACATTAATCACAAAAAAAACCTAATTTATTTTTCAGAAATATCATTCTGAAATCAGAGACCTTGAAGATCTCGGGGAACTTGGCAACGGAACTTGCGGCCACGTTGTCAAAATGCTTCACAAACCTAGCCAAAAAGTTATAGCAGTTAAGGTAAGTCTTGAGTAGGCCTAGTTTTCTCAAATGTTTTAAGCTTGAGTTAAGATATAATTAAATGATTTGATGTTACAATCGTTTGTTCTGCTACAATCAGTTTTGTACAAGTCAGCCAACTATACATTTATGCAGGAGCTCTTTAAAACATATTTTTAAATTTTCCTCGAGTGCAAGCTCGTTACTGTGGATGATGCGATGGCTGTAAGAACCTGCTCATTCGTAATGGATGTTATATTGATCCATCGATAAAGGTCAATGAGATAAAAACTTTAGGGATGGTCAAGTCTCGAAATTTCGGGAAATTTTCGGGAAATTTTAAATCTCGTTACACGAGACGAGATTTCTTTTTGGCTGAGATTTTTATCGAGACGAGAATAAAAAAAAAAAAAATTAAAAACGCCTGCAAAAAGTCAATGCAATACCCGCAATTCAGAAGCATGTTGTAGTTGCGTTTCCTTTGCGAAGGCGTTCTTATTTAATTAATTCTTTAAATGTAAATATTACTTTAATTATTTTAATAATATTACTTTAATAACATTTGAGAAGTTTTGTTAAGTGTAAGCAGTGTGAGGAATGTTTTATTACTATAAAAAGCCAAAAGTAGTAGGCCTAACTATTTTATAAAAATTAATATTGTTTTTATTTTATTTTAGGATAAGTTGAACTCTATCCTAACTGATATCACTATGTTTCCTAATCGTAGGCATTTTTAATAAGTTAGGCGTGATTAATAAAAAAATGTTATGCTGATGTTTTTTAATAAAAGATTGTAAATATTCTTGCCTATTATCATTATTTTTGTATTTAAACAGTCATCTAACAATGTTACAAAATCAGGTAAAAATTTTGAACGTGCATTTCCCGTTGTGTATGAGAAGGGAAATCCCGTCTCGATCTCGTCTCGAAATTTTATGAGAAATAAAAAATCTCGTCTCGTCTCATCTCGAACTAAAAATCCAATCTCGTCCATCCCTAAAAAACTTGATAGGAAATCATATATTTTCACCTACTTTAATGCATATTAGGCTTATTTTAGAGATTCCTCACACCCAAGCATTAAATTGATTTTGAAACAGTCCTTCAGAAAATTACTATAAATATGCTACCCTAACTACATTTCAATCACGATTAACTGATCTCAACAGCAAATGAGGCGTTCAGGCAACAGTGAGGAGAACAAACGTATCATCATGGACCTGGACGTTGTGCTCAAGTCGGAATGTCCGTACATCGTGCAATGCCTCGGCTGTTTCATCACGGAAGCCGATGTGTGGATCTGTATGGAACTGATGGCTACTTGTTTTGACAAACTGCTCAAGCGACTCAGGTCGCCCATACCCGAACAAGTGCTCGGCAGAATTACGTTGGCTGTGAGTTAATTTGGCATGTTTATTATAATTTTGGAAATTCATGGGAAGTAAGACGTATTAGTTTTGTAATGGTGGCAGGGCGTCTCAGTGTCTCCAATAAAGTCGATTTAATGATAATATGTGCATTTTAATAAAAGTAGGGATTCAAGCACGGTACTTGTAGGTTTTATAAAAAGGCCTAATTGTAAATTATCCACTTACATTGTAAAAAAGGAAACGATTTTAGACCCTCCTATATTGCAACTTTGATTTAAAATACTACCTAAGGAAATGAGGCCTTTTGAACATACATAACATTTTGAGTCTAAGGCTCAGAGGTGAAATAGAAATCAACTTAAATGTTGAGAAATGTTGAATGTTGAATAGAAGTAGACTACTCATTCCATAATCATTTTTTAGGTTACTGCAAATTAATAATGCTGTTAGTATAAATTTATCACCTGGTATTTCCTGGTATTTTGATGATTCATTTCATGGAATGTATTTGGGTAGGCCTACATTGTTATTGAAACAGATTGCAAAACCGCCACAGTAATTTTGTGTGTTGCTTCCCAGTGTCGCCACTTTTAAAACTTTTTTATACCGTACAATCCGTACAATAATGGTTCATCCCTTGCCTTGATCATGTTCCACCGGAGAGGCCTGTGACAAAAGTGATAAAAAACAAAGTTCAAACTAACCTCAAACATTTAACACTAATACTGAAACCCCGGTCTGACAGGCCCACGGGAATTTTCAAAAACGCATGTTGGCAACACTGTTTACTTGGTAGATTCCATTCCCCGAATACCTTCCCCCCTTTTCCTCCCCCTACCTATTGATATATCATTTGTTCATTTTGCATGGGTGCCGTGACCTTGACAGGTCGTCTGTTCATAACATGTCCGTCTCAGAAGCCCAGCGTTAGTGTATTTTAAAGCGGGGTCTCACAGACCGAGGGTTTCGGTTTGTGTGTTTCTAAGCGGGGTCCATTATTTTTCAAATGGGGTCTCACAGACCGGGGGTTTCGGTTAACGTCAGCCTAGGTGGGGTTTCGGTATTAGTGTTAAACAAAGAAATTACAGTACTACACTTAGCTTAGTCACACAATAGTTTGATACTGAAATAATAATCAAAAATCGTGTTAGATAACAACAGTTTTCTTCATACTGTGTTGTTTATTGTGTTTCACTTTATGTTTGAACTAAACTTTTACAACAATAGTTTTGCTTATATTTTGAATTTTTATTTACATATACCTGTTTACTTGACAGACTGTGAAGGCTCTACACTACCTGAAGGAGAACCACGACGTAATCCATAGAGATGTCAAGCCTTCCAACATCCTGGTGGACGAGAAGGGCAACGTGAAACTGTGTGATTTTGGCATATCTGGAAGACTTGTAGATTCCAAAGCCAAGACCAAGAACGCTGGATGTGCTGCTTATATGGCGGTAAGTTGTTCGAGGTTTATTGTGGTTAATGAGCAAGCTGAGAGGTCAGTCCAGTTGAAAAGTTAGGTGCTGGCATTGCCATTGCGTTGATTAAGCTGGATTGCCAGTGTCACAGTCTTTAATTTTAAAGCGGGGAGGAGTAGCAATTCTAGTTTAAAACCCGTTTCACACTGAGTTTGCTAGGCGTAACCTTTAGAAATTGAGGCTAGTATATCTTTATCCTCAGTAAGATTTATTTGGGGGGGATTGATTCCTAGTTGGGATCAGTTTTTCAATGACCGTTTTTCAAATTACTACGATTTTATTCAATTCAAATTAGAATGTTATGATCCAAATGGCAGTTTTGTTACATGTTTGATTCAATTCAAATTAGCTTGTCTTGATGTAAATGGCAGTTTTGTTACATAACCATAAACTAGGATGCTCATATAGCTGGCTTATGGTGTTTTTTTTCTGTAAACATTCCCACAGAACATTTTATAAGCTTTGTGATACAAGTACACTTCTTTTTGGGGAACAGTAGAACCACGCCAATCTGATCTTGGCTAGTCTGATTCCTTGCTTAAAAAAACCGACTTTCTATTGTCTATTGATTGTTGTAGCAGTAGGGGATATCCTGACCATTTTCTGTGGTCGTACGTGTGGACATCATCACCGTCTTCTGCAATAGCAGCTGAAATCCCGTTTTAATCCCCTGTGATATTGTAATCCTTATAATTAATTTCCCTGATCGTGTAGAACCCTATTTATGATCAATAACGGAAACATCAACAGCATCTTCCGTGATCATGGTAAAATGAAAATATTAAAAGTCTCCCGCGGTCACAGGGACATAAACATAATCATCATTCCCTCGATCGTGGCAAAATATTGAACATCTCTTGCGGTCATGGAAAACATGGTCATCTTCGACTATTGTGGGAAAATCCTGAACTGTTCTTTGGATAATCCTTCCTTTTTACTGTTCCAGCCACGGGCTCGGTAGGCCTACTGTAGGTGACGGATTAGCGGGGTTGTATCTTATGCCTACCATGTTTGTAATTTATAGAAGTAAGGTGAAAAAAACAAAAAAACAGTAGGGATAGGCTTTCCCAGATTTATAAAGATTAGTGACACATAGTAACTTAAACTTTTTTGGTGATTTATTAGTTAATTTTTTTCTCTCTAAACTATCAAATCAACATGCTGAAATGTGTTACAGCCGGAGAGGATAGACCCGCCAGACCCCCGGCGGCCGGCGTACGACATCCGTGCGGACGTTTGGAGCCTCGGCATCACACTGGTGGAGATGGCCACAGGGGTGTTTCCGTACAAGGACTGCAAGTGTGACTTTGAGGTGCTAAGTAAGGTGATGCAGGACGATCCTCCAGCTTTGCCCACTGACCAAGGCTTCACTCAGGACTTCCAGAGCTTTGTCAAGTGGTGGTGAGTGTCTCTACGACCTTTGACTATGGTCCCTTAGACATTCTGTTCCCTTTTAAACAAAACAACATCTTCCGCTACAAGATAAGTGGTTTTGAAACTCACCTGGTAATCAAAAAGTTGTCGGTTGGATACTGAGATGATTGAGCAGCTTTTTGATGGTTTTAAAGTATCCAGCTGTCCTTGATCAGTGTTCTTTGAAAACATATTAACAAGGTCCTCCTGGGTAATCGAACATTTGGCATTAGTCAGCTACAAAGCTCACACATTCCTATTCCATTCTGTACTCATCCTTGACTCATATTTGGTTTAAAATACATGACCATCGAAAAAACATTCCAAATAGAGATTAGTGTAACATTCAACTTTAACTTGTTCTGTTGCAGCTTAACGAAGAACTACAAAAATAGGCCAAAGTACAGAGACTTGTTGGACCACCCGTTCCTCAAGTTGTATGAGAGAGAGAGCGTCAACGTAGCCTCGTGGTTCGGCCTCACGCTGAGTCAGATAGAACCTCCGGCTGCTGTCACCCCTATACCTACCCCTCTACCTGTGGCTGTCCCTATGCCTGCTACTGTACCAGCTGCCGTACCTGTGTCCATGGTGCAGAGGTAAGTTAAGGGATACACACAAGCTTACTTAAAAAACTACAAACAAATCATGTTGGCCTCTGGACACCAATAAATAAATCAATCTCAGGTCTAGGTCTTTCCGTGTTATCCCCTAGGGTAATAGGTACTTTCTTAAAAAAATCATTGCTCCTGCCAAATATGAATTTTGGGTACTTCACTACTTTGGTATCATCCAGAGGCCACCCTTATACAGCGCTGCGGCGGTGATGTTAGGTTGGGTTATCATAAATATGTTTGTAGGACTTTCCTTGTTTTGTTTTGAATCCAACGTTACCAGATGGTTCATACTTTCGCACGCTAAATCTCCTCCAAGTAGGTCAAAGTAATGTCGTTGACCGTAGCGCGCGCATCACCTGTCACCGCCTGTATCTGGGGTATTTGGCGGGCGAAAGTATGACTCATCTAGTATTGTTCAATTCATAACAAAACAAGGAAAGTCCTACAATTATATTTATTATAACTCAACCTAACATAACCCCCGCAGCGCGATGTATACCTACTTGGCGGAGTATAGCGGCGGCAACGCAATCAACTCAATCCTTGCTGACATCGCTGCCTTCTGGGAGGCAACACTCAAAGGCCTCTTTTTGTAATCATGTCAAATTTGGACAGTAAGTCAATTAAGGTATGACTGGAGTATCCCAATTTTACTGTTGAGCTGAGCTTGATCGATAATCTTAGGCGGCACACTTCTATCTTCGTCTACTTAGTGACTAGCAAATGGTTTTAGGCCCAGGAAAGTAAGGTAGACAAAAGGTTAGGTTCCATCATACAATCAGTCCATATTGAAAATTAGGTAAAATTTCAAGCAATGGTATCACGCTATCGAGAATTGATTTTTAGGTACATTGGTATCAAGAATTGATCAATTTTGGTATCGACTCATTACTAGTTGAAATTAATTACTTTGGTAAGATTTGTTGGACACAGTTTTTAGATTAACAGCTTTTACTTCATGTACTTCCTTAAAGCAAACGTTTCACTTTCAGGTTTACACCACCTCCCCCCTCGCCATCCACTCGTAGACACGCCCCTCTGCCTCTACAACACCACCGGTCGCTGTCGGAAACCTGCTCGTACCAAAGTAACGGAGAGCTGCCCAGCGGACGGTATTCCCCCTTCAGAATGGGCGATCCACCTCCTATCTCCCCTCGCTACCAAAACACAACTCCTGAGTGGGACAGGAGTAGGATGTACAGGTAGGATTGGTCGTCTAAAATAGGGGTGTAGATATTTCTGAAGTTGTATGTTTTGACTTTTGAATATGAGTAGAACTAGTCCCATGTCATAGTAGTAAAATAATGGACGAGTTAATTAAGCCGCAGACAAACTGTGGCACTCTATAAGTGGCTTATTTACTATTTTTATAGAAAATTAGTAACAGCCGGTTACCAATTTGATAAATTGGGAAGAACACCATAGTCAAAAGGTTCTCACGGTTCACTAAGGACCTGGTATTTGACGGATAATGAGAAACTGTGAATGAGGGTGCACAATAAGCTGTTCTAGCTGCGATGCAATCCTATGGTCACTTGTAAGCCTGGCCCTCTGTAAAAAAAAACAAAAAAAACAGCCGGTTCATATCTTGTCTGCTATTGGTTGTCTACTTTGTTACTTGAAAGGCAATGGTGTCAGGTATGAGTAGGGATAGACGGGATTGTATTTATACTTTGGGACGTTACTTTAATTTCTTTCCTAAATTTCAGGACATGATTTTTCTCTCTGGCCAAAAATGAGTGTTAAAAATGTTGGGTAAACATTCTTGCAGATGGTAATAATGTCAATAAATTTGCGGTTTTTATGTCACTGGGCTATACAATCATGCTAATGATAGGACAAGTTACAAAAACAGGAAGGTTTTGTAGGTAACAAAAACTGCATAATTAAACCTAGTGTTAATCTTTCTTGGATTAATTTAACTTTGCACAGGTATATTTTGAACCTTAAAATATACTTTGAAATATGCCTAGGCCTTTGTAAATATGCCGGTTAGTTTTATGCTGGTATATTGTGTTGAAAAACAATAAACACTTAAGTTACCTGAACAGTGAATATAGTTTCCCTCATTGGCTAGGAAAACCGCCACTGCTTAAAAGATAAATGTAAAATTTAGGTACTCCCTACAATTTAAAATTCAGTCATAATATTATATTGTCTTGTAATCGCTTGGGGTGTTTAATAAATGTGTTTTGTTTCAGTGGAATCATGCCTTCGCCCATCCCCACCAGGAAGAGGTTCCAGGACCCTCTGCCTGGTAACACTAGTCCCCTGATGCTGCAGAGATTCCACCATCAGCAGAGTCAGCACAACAGGTCAGTGGGCTTGCAAACAGAGGGTGGGTTCGAGGGGGTCATTAAAAAAGTGTAAGGGAAAAACTGAACGTTAATTGTAGGGATGGACGAGATTGGATCTTTAGTTTGAGATGAGACGAGACGGGATTTTTTATTTCTCATAAAATTTTGAGACAAGTTCGAGACAGGATTTCCCTTCTGATACGGGAAATGCATGTGTGAAATTTTAACATGATTTTGTAACATTTTAAAATACCTATTGATTTATGGCAGATGACTACAGAAGTAGTAATAATGGGCTAGAAACATAAAAAAAAACATTAGTAGGCGTATAAAACAAACTTTTTAATTAGGCCTACCTTATTAAAAATTACTCTTCCACATAGGAAACGTGGTGATATCAGTTAGGAGATAGTTCAACTTTGAACAATACAAAATTTATCAGTCTGCATCATCAGTCTTACTATAGTCCTCGCCAACCTAACTTGAGGCAGCCCAAGGCCGCACTTCGTACATCTAGTGTTGCCTTGGGCTGCCTCAAGTTAGGGTGGCGAGGACCATAGTTCAGTAGATATCACGTAACAATTTTTATCTAATTATGATTAAAAAATATTTGAAAATGCAAGGTGAGTTAAGATGGGTAGCAGAATTTTGCAACAATTTTGTTAATAGTTTTTTTTCTTCACATTTTATGGTATAATACAGTTGGTTACTTCGAGTTTAAAAGATTTTAGTTTTGTAAAATGGATATTATTATATTCTTTTCAAAGATTTTGACTTTAAAATATTAGTTGATTTTTGTGATTATCCTGCTGTAATTCGTTTTGCAATTGGGTTTTTAGCATCAAGTCTAATCTAGTTTCTAGATCAACACATTTTTCCTGAGTGACAAAATTGAGCTGATTCCCTAGATATAAGTGATAACAGATCACATAAAAGTCTTGCTTTGTGTTAAATATCCATCCCATTAAAATTGTTATAAGATAACATGAGATGCAAAGTTTTTGTAAAAAAACAAACTGTTGATATATTCATTTAAGGTTTTATTTCATCTTATATCCACTGCATTTCCTTCCCTGTAATATTACTATATCCTGATGATCCGTCCAAAATATGTACATTTGTTTGCCAAATATTGAGTCATCTAATCCAAAATTATGCAACTAAAATGCAATGTTTTTTACAGGTCGACGTCGGTGTCGCCGTGCAGGCAATACACCTCGGAGACTGTCAAGTTGGAGGACTCTGGCAACAAGAAGCGGTACTCTTCCTTCGTCAAGCTCCAGGTGGGGGGAAGCCTACCTCCCCCTCACAGCCCCGAGCCTCCGCCCCGCCACAACCGTATGACCTCACCACTGCTCAGGAGGAACTTCATAGAAACCTCGTCACCGTCTCCGGCCCGCAGGACCTTCCAGGAGAGCAGTCAGTCACCACTGCTGTCTCGGAGGTTTGTTGCGAAAGATTGTTCACATAGAAATTCTAAGGTATTTAATATCTGAGAAAGTTTTATACTTTTGAACTCTTTGAACTATTCGGTATTTAATTAGGCCGTTCTTAAGTATGTTTGTACTCATTTTATGTTTTATATGTTATCCCCTTAGCAGAAAATCTAATTTCGGCTTGGATATGTTGTAACGACTATAATCTTTTTCCTTTCTATAGTTAATTTTTTTTTGTACTAGGGATGGACAAGTCTCGAAATTTTAAGAAATTTGCGAGATAAAAATATCTTTTTGGTTAGAGAAAGATTGCCTTTGTTCCAAGACTTTTTAAAGACGAGAAAAACAAGAAAGCCTTCGCAAAGGAAACGCAACAACAACACACCCCTGTATTGCGGGTATTGCAGAGGATTTCTAAAGGCTTACTGTGTACACATCAAAAATCGGTAAAATCACTTTATCCAGTAATTCGTTTATCTGTTACTGTACTGGTTATAAAAGGATTTACTTTATATTATTTCATCACTAAGATCAGGAGTAACATCGTACAAGCTACTACAATTTTCTTTCATCTCTTATAGACAGTTTTTGTTGTGATACAGTTAGTTGTTTTTTTCTTATTTAATTGATGTCTATTTGCTTTTATTATTTTGTACACTTTTTGTATCAACCGTTGTAATAAATGGTTAGTTGTTGTACTCAAGCTGTTGTTTTAATAGTGCTTTATTGTTATTTTTTATTAACCATTGTTATACTGTGCAAACGAATAATACCCCATAGTAATGATAAAAGAAAAAAAAATCTCGGCTCGAACTTAAAATACAGTCTCGTCCATCACTTCTTGGTACTGAATTTTTTTGTAGTTTTAATCGACAGGGGCCAAAATTTTCTCTTTGGTATTCACGTATCCTTGTACGACACAGGTAAAGCTAGTAGTTGTAATACCGTATACTTGATTATTTTTTATCATAACTCTTTCTTGAAGAAAACAGATCAGCATCTGAGTGTAATCTGAGGGAAGAACACTCTTTACTGAGATGGTATCTGACCTAATACCATTGACTCTTATCAAAGTAAAAAATATACAAATATGACTGTGAAAACCCGTAAATGAAACATGAATTTAAATTTCAAAATTTTAGTGGGAACCTCGTTTCCCAAGGATTTATCTTGAGTGTAGATTAAAGCAAAAATAGTGGAATACAAATGAAAGAAATTGCATTACTGTATTGTTTGCAGGCATGTTTCGCCAGCACCCCCGCAGCCCCCACCTCGTAGACTATCAGACTGCAACTCCGTACCAGGGTCGCCCCGTCGCCCCGCCAGGTTCCAACACACACCTGAGCCACAGCGCAGGTACTTGCACGACCTCTAACATCGCTACCACTCTAGCTGTAATTTTACAGATTCACTAAGTTCCTCGGTCCATTTGACCATTGTGTCAGAAATTTCGTTAATTCTAGATTTTTTAAACTTGACATGTTTTTGGTTGGATTTTGTAGGTCAACTTGCATAAGATGTTATTTGAAAGCTTATTGCGGATGTTTTCCGTTTAATCAAAGCACATAATTTTGTAATAGAAAATGTCAGCAATAATCTTTGAAATAATGTAAAGTATGACCAAAAATGAACCCAAACAAGGAATTGCCCGAGATGTATGTCCTTTAGTAGATCCTTTTTCTGCCCTTGAGTTTCACTTAAAAAAGATCCTGAACTACTTGAAAGTAACATTACAATTTTGGGTAAAAAAGGAAAGCTAAAAAAATACATTCTGTAGGAAACCTCAGATTATTAAATGCAATTTTTTGTCCTATAAAATCTCTTAAGCTTTAACTTCTAAGAAGAAGAAATTATTTCTTTAAATGCTATAGCCCCAATAGTTTATGATATTAATTTATATAATAAGATGTTATGACTTTTTAAGATTGTGTGAAGGATTGTAAGCTAGTTGTAATATATTCTGAAGGAGAGGGATCAAAGATTACTTAGTTTGTTGTTAAAATCCATGGAAAACACAGTTTCATAACAGCTTTGTGTATAAGTTTTTGGTTTTAATGTCAACAATCGTAGAACGCAATGAAAAACAAAAAATCTTAAATATTAGTTGCTAATTGTTGTAGAACTTAAAGATTCAGATTTACATTTTATTTTGTTTTATTAGCACAGTTGGAAAAATGGAAGGAACTTTTTGAATACTTGATAGAATTAATTAACCAACCTAGGCTACTTTCATATCTATTATATTGTTGAAAATCAGTAAACAAAAAAAAACATTGTTTTAAAAATATATTAGTAAATTTAGGCCTATATCTAAATATTTTTGTACTTTGGTGAAAGGATTTAGAATTTGGATGATATTATATTTTTGTTTAACAAGAATTCATTTATTCACTTCTAATATTTATTGGGTTATCATTTTTTAATTTTCCTGGAACAGGTTCCCTCAATGTAAAATAATCAGTGCATTTTGAAATTGACACTTATTGATTTTTATAAAAAAATATAAGTTGTTATAATATATTTGTTGAGAAAAGATGAACTTTAACTCTATAGAATTATTATTAGTTCAAGGCAAAAGGCTAAACAAATCATAAACGACTCATATCTTTATCATTTATTTCTTACATTGTATCAAGTATGCTTAGAAGATAATTTTTGTAAGATTTATTTTCTATTTTTGTTTACCATTTTGTAATTTTGAATGTTTGTGTTGTATTTGTAATCAAGTAACTGACACTAGTTCCATTCATCCTAATTCATTGCACAATCATACTCATAGCAAACTGTCTGTAGAGGAAATAATAGATGTCTCATTACACATTTCACTTGCTTTTAGCTTTGGCCACTCGATAGTTGGTGGTTTTGTGGCACTTTCAAGGTTTGCCCGATTTAATGTCAAAAGATTCATAACTCGTAGCTAAGATAAGATAAAAAATCAATTTGATTTCTTCAACACATCCTAGATATCAAGCTCTTGGATTTAGTATTTAAAATATCAAAGATTTTTTTGTCTTGATATTGGAATTATTTGAGTTTGGTTTTTACTTTTGAACTGTCTTTTTGCAATTTATAAGTCATTAGGAGAAGATTCACACTTTTAGTCAACATTACTTTAGTTATAGGATTTATGCTTTTAAACATCTTTAAATTATAATCAAATTTTGCATGTTAAACTAACACTACTATTTCCTCGAGGCAGACCCTTCCTTTCCCACGGTTGATTGAATGTAGTTCGGTGGTGGGTTACAAATTTTCTCAATGAACATTTCTCTAATCTGGCGCCGTTTTCTCTAGAGTGGTGCACAATCGTGAAGTGGTAAGTTCGTTCCTCGGTAGTGCCAAACAACTAGTAAACAAAGCGGTTTGGTACTCGCATCGTCTGGTGTCTGGCTCGTCGAGCCGCTCGGAAAAACATCAAACTCACCACGTAGCTCTCGGAAACTGAGTTGCCAACTTGCAACACACAAGGGTATTCTTGGCATGAACCAACTATCAAAAACCTTTTCAAAAGACACAAATTAATCTACCCACTCTTGTTTTGCTGGTAGATTATGACAGAAATGTTAAGTTGTATTACATAAACCTAACAACTGATTGACTTGGAAATTGTGTAGATTTTTAACCATGCCAAAGCATCAAATAATTGGTGATCAAAAGTTCACACATATTTTCAGAATCAAATTTCCTCTGGAATCGTCGTTGGTATATGATTGTAAATTATGCATCTCAAATTGATCTTACTAAATCCTTGGTGAATGATCACTCAAAAAGGTTGTTGAGAATCAGTATTTTAAGTTTAACAAACCCCATCAAATATTGTTGCTCGTGGAATCATTTTGTTGTCAATATTTCTTTTGACAGATTTTTTTTACTTGTGTAATTGATTTTATGATTCCTTATCATATCCATTTTTCATTTTCCTTCATTACCCGATTTTTTGTATCCTGATCAAAATTACACTTTGGACCCGCTTTTATCACCAAAGATTAAATCCATGGTCAGTTTCAGTGGGTTTTCTTGTGCCATTGTGTTTGATGCAGACCAGTTTTTAAGCATGTCCAAAGATTTGATTTACAACTGATCAGTATGTTTTACCACCTTTAGAGTTTAACAGTTTGTATCATTGTAAATAATCACTATCATTTTTGTGTGTATGTGTTGCAGTTATATTGGCCTTCAATTCAAAGTAAATATTTTATCCCAGATCCCTGAAACTTTATCAAAACTGAGTGTCAGAAGTTTTTTTAATTCTCTATCAACAAGTTGAATCACAAATTGTTTACCTTATAAGTCTATTAATATTTTTGTTTTAAACTATATACTATATTATTTGTAGGTATAAACAATTTTACCATGAACTATTTTATCAAAATATGTTTTCAATTTCAAATATTGTGGCTGAACGCAATTTTATGTGATAGTTTTTACATGTAATACAAAAGTTCAAACCATTTTTGTATATAATCATGGAAGATTTACTTATTAGGTTTTGATTAGTTTTATCGTGTACTTAACGCAATTTATATAATCTTAAATATAACCCTTTTTTTAAATCCCTCGCTATTCCAAAATAAATGGAGTGCATGTCGCAGGAAGACGAGAGATGGCTTTCGATGGTCTTTCAAAATTATAACGTTTTAAGTATGGTATTTTTCGCTTGTGAAACAAATTGCCTCTGCTGATATTATAGGTGTCATTATTCAGTTTTACCACAAAGAAGTAAGATACAGAGAATACACGCTTATGGGACAAGCGTGCGCTTTTAGCTCTGGTAAGTTTTGGCAGAAATGTACTAGTATCGAGCAAGGAAGAGCACGAACGGCAATGGCCACATCATTTTTGTTCAGCAGTTGTAGCGCACTGGGTCTTCCGAATGTGTGAGCTCAGTACGTGATGGCGATAGGAGAGCGGACGAGAGTAGAATTTGCTCTAGACGCCAGCGACTGGTGCTAGACACCACTATGAATGTATCTGTTTCTTACTTCTCTGTGGTTTTACGCTTGTATTTATGTAATCACGTCTCTGTACAGTGCCTGATATAAAACATGTATCTGTAATTACTTGTAACAAATTGGATTCTGTAAGTGCACTGGAAATGTAAATTTCAAGGTGTTTTTTTAAGTTGTCGATGGAAATTCAATCCCGGGCCAGTTTATTGTAGTTTATCCTGAGATTGTAGGATTATGACATTTTCGGGGTTAAAAAGTATCCAAGCTATAATGAAATGAATTTAACAAAATAACTCACAAAATTTTCAAATAAAAATGCTGGTAATTTCACATAAAACAGTAAAAAAACTATTTAACTAACTTGTTATTTACTTAAAAAACATTAAAAAGTATATTAGATGGCTTAAGTTAATATAAAAAGGACTAAGGATCATATTTTCCTGAGTCTAACTTCTATATCAGAAAAATTATTATTATTGGCTTATATCGATGTCATCAATCCCTTCCCTATGACTCTGTTAAAAATCTTCCAATCAAATATGTACACAGCTATTTAAATATAGTTAGTGTAGTAGCTGTGTCTAAGTTAAAAAGGCAATCAATTGGAAATTTTAACAGTTGAAATATTTAATTTTAAAAATAGTCGTTTGGAATTTTCTGAATTTTTGGCAGTTTTCAAAACTTCTGTTTCTTTGTATCTACATACTGTACTGACTGTGTTTTGTCATTTTTCTATTTTTTGTCCTATAGGTAGTTAAAAAGTTATTTTTTTATTTCAAAGAAAGGTAATTGGAAATAATGTTGATGATGGATAAAAAAGTATTTGTTCAATATAAAAGGTTTTAAGGGGTTACAGTATAATATTTATGTTTATTTTGAATCATACTTATCGAGGGGTTTGTATTTTTATAATCCCATAATCCCTGGGATGAAAAACTTGCCCTGGATTGAATTTCTTAGTCATCAAGCTTGATTGAAATATAATTGAATTCATGGCGATTCATAACGCCTGGGGTAAAAACGTAGATTTTATTTTTAGGATAAAAAAAACTGTGGTATTTTGTTTGAAATTATTTAAGGCAATTTAATTTTTGGTACTGTAATTTTATGAGTAATTTTAATTTAAACCAGTACAAGTCTAGTTTTTAATTGGTACAAGTATAACTAATTTTTTCTAACACTTTTAGCAATATTTTTGATTTGGTTTTAACTTTATTTGGATTTTAGTAACCTTAAAGTAAGTCATTGATTAAGTTGTGTCTATTTAATTCTGATTGAACTGTAATGACCCTAATCATTTAACTTTTTACTATACATTTTAAATAGGGAAAGTAAAAGTTAAGTTCTTGAAGAATGCTGGTTTACTATGAATTGTATAAGGACTTGTTGAATATCTTTTAAAGTTGAAATCAAGTGGTTTTTTTAGTTTTCAAGCTGTGCCATTTCATTAAATGTAGTTAGCGACTGATTGTAGTTAGTCACCGTTTTGACTGCTCATTTAACATTGTTTTATTAGGTCTTCAGAAATGTGAGAAACTTTTTCACTAGTTTTGGATCTTTTCCATTACATGATTTCAAATTTATATTTTTTTTTTCAAGAAAAATTGTAATAGTTACTTTGAATGTACTCATGTTCATTGATGTTTGGTAAATAGTTTTTCTAACTTTTTTTGCATGAAGCGAGAGATGGTACACAAATTTTTGAAGGGAAGAACAAAAGGAAAAATATTGTTTTTGCCATTCAGCAAAATCTTATTTTTTCAATACATGCCTTGCGGTGCTAAAGTCATTCTTTCCTCCTAAGGGCAAAACAAAATTAGCTTGAGTCGAGGACGTCTATTGTTGCTTGTGTCTAAAAGAGCCACTTCAGGCCCTAGTGATGAGATTATTTTGTTCCATAAGACATTTTGAGTACAAAACAATCATGTTGATCAATTTGTTTAAAACTGTCCTATCTTTAACTTGACCATTTTTTTAATAACCAAATCCAAACATAAATGTTTAAATCTGATTTTTTTTAAATGAAGCATGTAGTGGAAATAATCACCGATTTGCTCATGTCACAGAATTAGTTTATAAAATGTAGTTTGGAATAGTTTAAACATTTTTTTATTTGTTGCATTTTAGTAACAAAAAATAGCAAATAGTCACTTTTGCCTTATGCAGGTTTATGATAGAAAATAGCTTATTCCCTATGGGAAATTTGCTGTTGCCCTATGGGAAACAGATTTAAAACTGTTATTCACATTCACTGTAAAATTAAAATAATAAAATGCACAAATTTTAAAATTTTGTATTAGATAAATTTTAATATCTTTAAATAGAAAGTAAAATTTTTTAGATTCATGTCACCACTTTTTCGAGCTTTGATATTTTTGTAGCAGCAATCCTAGGAACATAAATGTGAATTTTGTATAAGGCAAAATAGTGAAATTGTTTTGTATTTTGAATACACCTGAAAATCATACAACTGGTTCATTTTGTAACAACGCAATTTCGTTTAGTTGTAAAAACATAAAATTGTAATTTCTTGATAATTTATTTTTAGTTGAAGATTAGGTTCTTGTTAATTTATTTACGTTGCTTATATTATATTTTTGTCTTGTATATATTTTCCATTTTATTGTAAATATTGTACTGGGATGTACAGATTGATCTGCTTGATATTTGTACATAGCGAATAAACATTGTGATTTTGAACTCAGTAGTTTATTGAATTTAACCACACGCATTATGATTCTTAAGTTAAATCTATGGCGCTAAGTCATTGATGTTCAGATTTGTTTACTACCAATCAAGAAGAGTCACGAGAGGGCAATTGTTCACTCCCCATTTCAACCTTGATACTCATCGGAGTGCAAACTAAGAAGGAAATTAACAAACCAGTGGTTAACTTAGACTAAAAAGTTTATTATGATAAATTATCCTAAAACTAAATGGATCCTGATATCTATACAAGCTCAGTCGTTTGTTGTTATATACAAGTGTGGCCTTGTCTGTCTGCGTGACAGAGGATGAGGTACTGTGACTTGTTGCGTAGCTTCGGTCCTCACAGGCCGAGTTTCTTGAGCGTCTTCAGATCTAGGTCTCCGTAATAGTCCTCACTGGAAAGAAAAAAGTTTGATTGTAATTTTTTTAGAATACCATTTGTAGTAATTTTTTAAAAACTGCTATTTTCTTTGTGTGTTTCCATTCCATCCGCAAATTAAAACGTAAGGAGTTAAAACTCTAGTCTTGTTCCTAAATAATGCCCTTTAGTTTTAGGACCATAAAAATTAATAGACAAGATAAATTACATAATTGGTCCCTCTGAGGGTTGAACCAGAAGCTTTCTGAGTTGAAGGCGAGCGCTTCAACCACTTGGTTTCTCAGATAATGTACAGAGAGCGGCAAAATGATCTGACGGTTTTCTTTGCCGCCCTGTTGAGCGAGTGAGTGGTGGAGGGTGGTGGGAATAGGGGCGTTACAAAGCCTACGTGCGAACATTTTTAGTAGCCATGGACCTAGGGACAGCTGAGCACCATGCATTTGTAGTGGAAGTGTTTTTTTTAAAGTGACAATTCCTGGATTGGTAGCTCATCTCTAACTCGTCCAATTTTAATTATCAATAGCTCAAATGAAAGCCCTTAAATCATTAATTATTTAAGAATGAAGATAAGGAAAATAATCGTACAAAAATTTCAAAGTACAAAACGTTTAAAACAAAAAAATGTATTTAAAAACGGATTTTGGCAATGGAATATGCGTGAAAATCTAGTATATATAGTAATAATGTGTCACAACACTGTCGTTTCAACAAAAAAAAATTATATCCAATAAGGTGGATCCAAAATGGCGGCCAAAATACGTTTCCCATCGAAATGAAGTACTGACCACCCAATAAATATCGGTGGTGGTCCCAAGTCAATATTTATAAAATTGTGTATAGAAAATGCTTATGGTATCTTATTTTCAAAATTTGTCCAATGTTGGGAAAATCCGACTCTGCACACCCAAAACTACAACATAAAACCATAAAACGTTTTCTTGTATTGTTTATTATTGTTGGTTATATTCTATACTTCTCGGACTAATAAGAAATTGATTTTAGCTTATTCTCTTTATGATAAAAACTGAGGAACCGAATACGTAGGTTTGCTGCAATGGTAACTGCCAAAAAAAGAATCTTTAGTAAAAAAATATTAAAACAGATAACATGAAGCAGAACAAAAAGTCCTATCTATATAGGTTTAATGAAAAATAATATTAATATTTATGCTTTTTCTCCATAAGATTAACATTGAGTTATCTCGGCAAGAAAACATACTAAAGTTATTACTTTCAATATCTCTGTAACAAATTGAAGCAGAACAAAGATTCAATATACTAAATTGTTAGGTTTTTTGTTTTGAATCTAATGGTTAAAAAATAAATTTGAAATTATAACAAACTTTGTACAAAATATTAGAAAAACATATATTTGAGGTAAAAAATCTTATTTTTTAGCACATAATACCCTGAAAATTCATCTTTGGGTTACTTTGTCTGCCTAGTTTTCATATTTAAGGTTGGAAATATAGTTCTACATGTGTTTGCCAATTTTCGTGGAAATCGGCCAATCCTGGAACTATGAATCGACGAATTTGCAGTCATCTTGTCGATTTGAGGGCCTCACGGCGGCCATCTTGGAAAAACCCGACTTCCGGTTGTCCGATTTTGGTAGACTTTTTTCCTGGTACTTTCTACACCTATTACTACCAAAAACCGTCGAAAAACCATTTGTTGGAATTTGTTCTATCTTAGAGGCTTTTTTGGACTAAATTGACTCGTCTAATTGCCAACAGATTGAGAGTTAGAATTTGAACGATGGATTATTTTCCCCCTCAAAATTAACTTATGTGACAAAGTTGGGGGAGATTATTCAGAAATATAGACACAATTTAGAAAGGTTCATAGGTGTATGAAGAAAGATTTCTAAGTTGAATATCGCAGGTAGTTTTTTAAGTAAGGCTGTTTATGTGTAGTTCACATAACAGGCCAGTAAGCCCGGGGCCACACTCATCTTATCTCGCTGAATTTTTTCCACGGGCGTTACCCGTGGGTTTGAGAGATACATTACGGTATATGGGGCAGGCCTCACTAGAGTAAAAACGTCCGTGAACGCGTTTGTCAGTCTCGCTGGTTTTACCAGACTGTAACAGCTCTGTAGTTAGTATGTATGTCAAAACAAGGCTGCTCGCTGCTTAATCATTTTTTGTGAAACAGAATGACTCAATTTGCAGCTATGTGTCTTGTATATACTTTTTGCAGTTTTTAACATTTGTTTAAATTTATCTCCTGCCACGTGCAACATAGTGATATGTTTTTGACCACAAGAAACCTATCTTGCTGACATTCATCGCCAGATGACGGAAGCTTATACCCTAATAGAGGGGAATGTTCAGAAATGTGCGAAGGGATTTAAAAATGGCTGTGAAAATATTCATTTATGAAGGTATTGTTTTTGGTGGGTACCCAAACTTCTCACACAAGAACTCCAAGGAAAAGGGTTTTCACAGAAATTTTTACACTCCATTACCCATTTCCGAACTTTACCCTCACATTCCGTTAGGGCCATAACCTTTAGTCATCTAGTGATGAATGTTGGCATCGGATATGTTTCTTGTAATCAAGAAAATATATCAATGATCTTATCTCGTACGAGGTGAGGTTTGAGTAACTAACAAAATTTTTAAAACACAAAGCACACCTCAGCTAGAGAGCTGCAAAATGTGTCATTCTGTTCACAAATTATGCCAGTAAGTGGCGAGGAGCACACGCACACTACAGAGCTATATGCAAGATTAGCCCTTACTTAAAAAATTACCCTTGTAGTTGAATTGGTTCAGCAGTATTTACTATGAAATCTGATTTGAATATGTTTTGGATGACTTTAACTCACAAGTTTTAGCCTAATGGGGAAGAGCAGATCTCCAGTATCTTGAATCTATCCTTGGATGAAAAATTCATGATAGAAGGGTGAAGGATGGTTTAGAATGTTTAAGGATTGTGCGTGTAAATTATGTATATTACTTATCAAACAATACCTGATACTTTAAACTAAAACTGAGAGTATAAAATGTTAGTGAATGTTTATTTTCACAAGCTAAAGTCTTCTGTACAGTTTTATGGATATCATTGTTAAATCTGACTATGGGGCACAAAGCAGTCTCATTGTAAGATACTACTGCTTAATTCAACACCTGAAATGTGAGAAAAGTTTGACAAGAAGGACAGTGTTTTAAGTGTAGACAAAATTCAATCCTCTCAAGTTCAGAGAAATAACTTAGTACATTCTTGGAAACAATAACTTGTCCAATTAGCTAAATAGAAACAAATTTCCAAAAGAATTCTAAAAGCTTTTGATATTTTGTTTTTAAAGGTTAAAAATAACTGGTCTAGATGTTATGACCACTGGGATAGACATGAAACTGGAGGTAGCACTGGCAACTCTGCTAGAAAATCGAGATACTATTTTTTTTTTTTTTTGGTAACAACTAGGGGAATCAGCTTATTTGCTCATGGCTTTATGTATGTACGATCCCACAATCCCTTAGCTGAAGTGTACAAAGTTCAATGTACTTTATCTCCTAGTCAATGGGGCCAACGTCAAGCAATTCTCATCCATCCAGTGCTACCTGTAGTTGTATCTCTAGCTCAATGGTTATTGCAATCCTTTTATTTACAATGTTCAAAGAGTCATAGCCAAAGAATTTTGAACTGTCTAATTCATACTGAAACTCTGTTTGCAGAATTTTGATGTTTGTACAGCAAGTCTTCAAGTTCAAGGTCTTTAAGTTTGTTTTTACATTGACAAGAGAGAGTTAGTTGGGGGATTGAAGGTTAGATTATAAATCATTGGGGGGAGGGGGGTCAGAGTAAAAGGAGATTTGAGTAAAATGGAGTGAAGCTGGCTTTGAAATATACAACTTTTCCAATTATCAAAACTCACCTTCTCCCGAAACCTAAATCATTTTCCCCAAGCTGGTCATCAAAACTGAATATGACGTTAATTGTACGAATTTCACAATTCTAAATCTAGTAGAGCAGGGATTGGCTGTGTCAACTAGCCTATTTACTCTCTCTTTTACTCAACCCATAAAACCAGGCTTCAGTGTTCACCTAAAATGTCTAACATGATGATCTGATGTACACTTTTCTCAAAAAATTTATTCATAGGTCAAAAATTTTTGTTCTGCTATAAGAAAGGACCCCTCAAATAGTGAATCTATGTCTTGACTAAATAAACTGAGCTTTTATGACAGTTACAAAATGAATAAAAAATTATGTAAGTGGTGCTTGAGTGTGTCATAGGTGTTTTGATGCTCCTGAACAATTTTCAGATCAGGAGAAACAACTGACATTTCTTCATACATTTGTTGCTTTGTACAAAAAAATGAAACAAATGGTTTTTATTGATCTGAAGATGATGTAACAAGATTGTTGAAACTTTTGAATTAGCCGATAAGAGAAAACCAAAATCACAAGGTAGATTATGGTATTAACGATTTTTATTGATTATACCTAACATATTCCTGAAAGAGAACACCCTTTTGAAGTCTTCTACTTCCTAACCAAAAAATTTTACCGA